CATTGGGAAGCTCTACATTCTTCACCTATCACTTCAATTCCTCATGGCATCTCTTCCACGTAAAATATGGCAGCATCCAGCCCCAGAGTCGACCCAAATGGGTCACTTCCAGCGAGACCTGGAGAAATCCACCGGACGCAAGTTCGACGTGAGTGAAGATTGTTTATGTAAGAAGTACGATATATCTAACATCTTTCAGTCCTTTCATGATATGTACCTATATTCAGTCAAGAACCGTTCTGAATTCTGGGAATTCTGCTGGAAATACTTCGACCTAATCCACGAGGGTTCCTACACAAAGGTAGTTGATGAAGCCGCTCGAATGGACAGCGTACCCGAATGGTTCACCGGTGTACGCCTGAACTTCGCCGAGAACCTACTCTTCTCGCACGTTGCCGGCGACAAAACTGGCAAGGAAGACGACAAGATTGCCGTTAGCGAAGTCCGAGAAGGCGCTGCGCATGAGGTTGTCCATCTCACCTGGGGTGAGCTCCGAAGACGGACTGGAGTCCTAGTCCAGGCTATGAAGGCTCATGGGGTCGTTCGGGGTGATCGTATTGCTCTCTGTGCGGCGAATAGCATAGAGACACTCCTGGTGTTCCTGGCCTCAACGGCTCTGGGAGCTATCTTCTCGTCTAGTTCCACCGATATGGGTACTAAGGGTGTCTTAGATCGACTGGTTCAGATCAAGCCTCGATGGTTATTTATGGACGATTTAGCGGTTTATAATGGCAAGACCATTGACTTGCGATCGAAGATTGAGGAAATTGTTCAAGGAATGGAATCTGAGCCTGGATTCGAGGGAGTCATCGCACTACCTCGATTCTCTTCGCGGCTGGCGGATATCAGTTCCATCCCTAAGACCAAGACTCTAGCGGGATTCCTCGCTAAGGCGGGCGGCAGCGATAAACTTGAGTTCGAAAGAGTTGGATTCCGCGATCCTTTCTTGGTGGTTTACTCGTCTGGAACGACAGGACAGCCGAAGTGTATCGTCCATTCTGTGGGCGGCGTGCTTCTAAATTCGAGCAAGGAGGGGAGATTGCATAGTGATCTCGGGCCTGATTGTGTCACCTTGCAATACACGACTACTGGATGGATTATGTATATGAGTGCCGTGCAGACTTTGCTGTTTGGCGTGCGGGTGGTGTTATATGATGGAAGCCCATTTATTCCAGGTATCACTGCTTTGGTTGATCTTGCAGCGCAGGAGAAGTAAGGGCCATTTTATTGATAAAAGTCTCAGGCTAATCAATTGCAGGGTGACCCACCTTGGAATATCACCCCGGTGGCTGCACGAGTTACAACAGGCTAAGATCAAGCCCCGTGAGAAAGTCAATCTCAGCACTTTACGGGTCGTCACAAGCACTGGCATGGTGCTGCGGGATGAATTGTTTGAATGGTTCTACGACGAAGGCTTCCCATCCCATGCTCGCCTGAATAATATTTCTGGTGGTACTGATATCGCAGGATGCTTCGGAACAGGTAACCCTCTTGTCCCCCTATATGTTGGCGGGTGCGCTGGATGCAGTCTGGGAATTCCCGTGGAAGTTTACGACTCTACTATCGAGGGCGGGGACGGGGTCAAGGGTGTACCCGTGGAGGAGGGTATTCCAGGCGAACTGGTCGCCACATCTGCTTTTCCCAACATGCCCACACTGCTGTGGGGTGACGAGAGCGGCAAGAAGTATCATGATGCGTACTTTGGCAGATTCGATAGTGGGACCACTCCTCCCTGTGTGGGGCTACGGTCGCTAATACTCTACAGATGTGTGGACACACGGCGATTTCGTTTCCATCCATCCAATCACGAAACAGATTGTGTTTCATGGACGTGCCGATGGGGTGCTCAACCCGTCGGGTGTGCGGTTCGGATCGGCCGAGATTTATCGGGTGCTCGAGGGACAATTTTCAAAAGAGATTGGTGATTCCATATGCGTAGGGCAGCGACGACCAACAGATACGGATGAGCGAGTGATGCTCTTTTTACTCATGAGAACAGGGGTAACATTCACACCGGATCTTGTTACACGAGTGAAAAGGGCGATCCGTACAGAGCTGAGCCCCCGCCATGTGCCGATGTTTACCTTTGAGACTCCTGAAATTCCGGTATGTACTTATGTTGGGAAAAGCAAGATCTGTAAAAGTGGGACTGACCCACGTATATCGTCACAGACCACGGTCAACCTGAAAAAGGTGGAGCTTCCTGTGAAGCAGATTGTCTCGGGGAAAATCATCAAGCCCTCGGGTACATTGCTCAACCCGAAGAGCTTGGACTTTTACTATCAATTCGCCAATGTGGAAACTCTGCGCGAGAGTAAGCTCTGAATGGAAACTCTTGGGCCTCTCATTCGACGTGGCTCCATATGAGAGGGGCAGACCGGGTCCATCGGGATCGTCACTTCACTCTGCCAAGCTTTGACCAAGCTTTAGCAACGGGTTCACCCTTGGGAAGTTTTTGTGTATATGAACACATAGTAGTAGTAGAGAGAGAAATTAAATTAGATAGAAACATTAAAGATTCTAATGAAAGGAATAAGAGGTAGAAGTAGAAGAAGTAGAAGTCGAAGAGAGAGAAAAGTGATGGGCTGATTGACTGCGTCATTGACAGCTCCCCGCACGTGGTTATCACCTGCTTCTTCCCCCTCTTATATTTTCTCAATTCCTCAATTCCTCAAATCTTTCCTGCTTTTTCAGATTTAATATTCTGGATCTTAGGTCTTTTATCCTTGACCTTTTATCATTTAATTCACAATGGTTCATCTCGCCAAAGTTAAGAAGGACAATGAGATTGTCGCACCTTCTCACGACATTGTCCCCATTTCTCCTCCGGACATAAATGACTTTGACACAAATGTCTACGGCAGTCACTTTGCTGCTGACCACATGCCCCAGAATGAAATGCCAGAGCGAGAGATGCCCCGCCAGGTTGCCGCTCGGATGATCAAGGATGAGCTGAGCCTGGACGGTAATCCCAAGCTCAACCTCGCCAGTTTTGTCACCACCTACATGGAAGACGAGATCGAACAGATCATGACCGAATCTTTCAGCAAAAACTTCATTGATTACGAGGAATATCCCCACTCCGCCGAGATCCAAAACCGATGCGTGAATATGATTGCTAGACTCTTTAACATTCCCACGGATCCCTCCAGTGACAATGCTATGGGTACTTCAACCATTGGGTCTTCCGAGGCTATCATGCTGGGAACACTGGCTATGAAGAAGCGATGGCAGAACAAGCGCAAGGCTGAGGGCAAGGACTACTTCCGTCCCAATATCATTATGAGCAGTGCAGTCCAGGTCTGCTGGGAAAAGGCTACTCGTTACTTCGATATTGAGGAGAAGTACGTCTACTGCACCGACGGTCGCTTCGTGATCGACCCCAAACAGGCAGTCGATTTGGTGGATGAGAACACAATCGGTATCTGTGCCATCTTGGGTACCACCTACACCGGCGAATACGAGGATATCAAGGCAATCAACGATCTGCTAGTGGAGCGTAACATCGACTGCCCAATCCACGTTGACGCAGCTAGTGGTGGCTTTGTCGCTCCATTCATCCACCCTAAACTTGAGTGGGACTTCCGCCTGGAAAAGGTGGTTTCCATCAACGTCTCCGGTCACAAGTATGGTCTGGTCTACCCCGGTGTCGGATGGGTCATCTGGCGCTCTCCGGAGTTTTTGCCCCAGGAATTGGTGTTCAACATCAACTACCTAGGAGCCGACCAGGCCAGCTTTACTCTGAACTTCTCCAAGGGTGCTTCTCATGTTATTGGCCAGTACTACCAGCTGATCCGCTTGGGTAAGCGTGGTTACCGTGCCATCATGAGCAACCTGACTCGCATCAGCGACTACATGGCTTCCGAGTTTGAGAAGTTGGGCATGGTCATCTTGAGCCAGAGGCAAGGCTTTGGCTTGCCTCTGGTGGCCTTCCGCCTTCCCACAGACAAAGGCCGTGTCTACGATGAATTCGCTGTGGCCCACCAGTTGCGCGAGCGGGGCTGGATTGTGCCTGCGTACACTATGGCGCCACATTGCGAGAAAATGCAGATGATGCGTATTGTCATCCGTGAAGACTTTAGCATGAACAGATGCGATAGCTTGATCCAGGACTTCAAGCTTGCTATCCAGACGTTGGACGCTATGGACAAATCCATGATGGACAAGTACAGGATGTATGTTTTTTTCCCTATATGATTTATTCCCATACTGACAGCCCCATAGGCATATGCAAAGCCACCGCAACCACCCTCGACACGAGTCGCGCACCCACCCTCACTACAAGAACGAGAAGCACTCGCTGCAGGGCAAGACTGGCAAGACACATGGCGTGTGTTAATTTCCTTCTTCAACACGCGTCTTGCTCTTCGGAATATCTTGTGCAAAAGGATCTTCATAGAGAGTAGTTTTGAGGATGAATTATGTCAATTCCACATGTGATTGAAAGAACAAATCAATGATCTAAAGTAGAGACTGGCCATGTACGAGTGAGAGCTTTGCAAAAGACGACCTAACATGCGCTGGTTTAGTGCGGGAAAAGCTGCCAGTTACATGCATATCTATTCGCTAGGTAGACTTCACATTTCGGAGTTGTAAGGAGTATAGTTAGTAATACTTAATACTAGCGCATATATAGAAATTAAAGTCGGGATGAAGTAAGGTCAGGCGAGAATGAAGAGAAAACGAGGCCAATAGTTTGACCGTGCACCTTCCAGTCTAATCTCTTCCCTTTTGGCTCTTACTCTCTTACATCTATCGATTCACCTACATCAAACCATCAAAATGTGGGAAGAGAGGCGCCGTGTTGCAAATCAATCTGCGCCGTACTGTTGCGGATATACTACATCAACAGTGTGCCACTGAGCCCCCCCCCCCCCATCTGCACCTGGAAATAGACCAGGGAATGATCACCGGGATTCCACAGTGGAAATCGGACATCTGAAGCAACATACCCTTTGTTTGCTGTTAGGTGACTGGCCTCCGCTTAGCCTATTCCTAACATGACTTCCCCGGAACCGAGCCTTCGCATAAATGAGTCCTCGTCCTTCATTATTGGAGGCGAAAAGAAAGGGTAGGTTCTCAGATCGGTTTGAAAACAAGCAATTCTCAATGATCTGACAATTCATCTAGAATTATTATTCCATAGCAGTGCCCCGAGAAACCCGATCCTCCCTACTGAAGACGAAAAAGGCCGAGAAGAGAACATGATACTCGAGAGGATGGAAAGTGAAAAGAGCTGGCACAAAAGGCCATGATGGCCCTCACCCTCTCCAAGCGATCTCAGTAGAGATCATCGAAATGGCCTTCCGGGGAGAAGGAAATACATTCAAACCCAGGATTCCAACCTGGAAGCGGTTCAGCAAGGGGAATCGAAGTTACCCCCAGCCATGTCCTTCACTCATGCAATCAACATCTACTCGGACGATATCCCCACCGGCAGGTGTCGATAGGAAGCTCCTCATACCCTGCGTTATCCCTGCTCCCTTTCTACCGGCACATGGTAAAGACCATAATCAGCCCCGAACTATGTAGACCTACCTCTATTACGAGTCTAATATATCAACGAAAAGGATGCCAAAACCGACACCTCCTGCCATCAATGGAGAACTTTACAGAGCAATGGTACCAGCAGCTGCGGCTCTTCTCACGCAACCATCACCATGTACGAGGTGAGGAAGTGGTATAACGAATACGAGATACGAAAAGGAATGCTCAGTCCTGACCAAGAAAGACGCCAAGTCCAAGCCGTGGCCCACAATGTTCTTTCACCATTGTTAGAAACCACGCGTTTACGGCGGTAACATCGCATTCGAGTGCGCAGAGTGTGGCCCGACACCAACTTATGAAATAGATAGTCGCGACATAACTGACGACATGGATGGCACTGGGAAGTTTTCTTGTGATGCTGATAATCCCATTGCCCTTGTCAAGAGACCAACAAATTTTGTTACTGAAGTTCTGGGCATATATCGCTTGTGATGTCATGTATACGTTAGATTTGTATAATATTAACCAGAGCCCTGAATACTTGTGTTTCCTGCCATTCATCCCCCAACTACTCGTTTATTATGAAGGGCATCTCAATTGACCCAAAGAGGAATAACCCTCCAACCCGAAATCGTCCACCGTTGACTTCCAACCCGGCTCAACTTCCTCCAGCCAAGGCAGCCAAGCTTCATCCATCTAAATTAGGCGAAGAGAACGCATCCCTGTTCTTCGTGGGAACGGCAACAACAATCATGTCTGTTCACACCTAGAATAAAATATCATCATGTACTAAATAAAGCAGAGAATGGGCTGGAATACGGATTATGACTGATGTCAGCTCTTAATGGGAAGTCCAATGCTCACAGACTGACCGTCTTAGCCCAACTTCCTCTACGCAGGCGACCGTGTCCACCTGGGCCCAGGCGTGTCAAGTAAGCGCCTCACCGACCCAGCTATCGACCTGCACGACCTCCCTCGGATTGATTTGGTCCTTCTCTCCCACTATCACGAGTAATTCTCGGAGCTCATAGGTGTTGAGCAGGTCATTGACATTGCTAGGGATCATTTTGACAAAAAGGTCGAGGCTTCATTGCGACGTGATCTACCCATTATCACCACACCACATGCGAAGAAGCGTCTCACTTCCAAGAAACAAGACACGTTTATATCCGTGTCCGCACTGGATCCATTTGAACAGATCGAGGTCAACATTGAAGGCACAGAAGGGCCAGACCAGCCCCGACTGCGTGTAACGAGAATGCCGGGAAAGCACGTGCCTCCCAATCGAGTAATAGAGAAACTCAACACACTAGCCAATGCGGTAAGTGCAGTTTCTTTTTCTGGATATTCCGAATTGGACGGCGACCTAATAGACCAACAGTTCCCGCCAACCAACGGGTGGATGCTCGAGCTAGGCCATGGCACCCACAATGCAGACTTTTCCTGCGGTTATCGCATCTACATCTCAGGAGACTCTTTGATGGTAGACGAGCTGCGCGAAATCCCTAAGCGATACGCAGGCCAACGAATTGACCTCATGCTCGCCCACCTCGGCGGCACAACCATTCCTTCTCCCTTAGTAGGAAGACTTATGGAACCGCTAGCGTTGACGGCCACTATTGATGCGGAGCAGGGTCTGCAATTGATTCAGCTGATCCAACCAGACATGACAATCCCGATCCACTATGATGACTATGAGGCTTTTGCGAGTCCGCTAGAGGATTTCAGACGCATTATGGAGGCGGCGGGGTTATTGTACAAGGTTGTGTTTTTGGATCGTAGGGACCAGTATTGCTTTCGAGTTATGACATAGAAGATTTTAATAGTCAGATATCGAGTTTTGTGTCTCGGTACGCGTGTTTGAGTTTAAGCTCAGCCCTGGACGCGTTAGTTCGGGGCTGAGAGAACATCCCACATATTTCGACACTACCGTTCTTGATATGGGGAATGGTAGTTCATACGAAAATTATAATTTACTTCGCCCTCAAGAGCGGAGCCGATTTTTTTTTCCTTTTGCAAGTTTCAGAGAATTTGGGGGCGGTTATAACCGAATATGTGGAATATGACGAGGCTCGTATATTAGCTCGTGTTAATATATCAAAAGTATTCGACCACCCTATATAGGAAATTGGCTTTTTCTTTCAAATCCTTATTTTTCTTTGATGGGAGTTTATATACATTTAGGACTGATATAGACTGGAGTAAAGATGGCTATACTTTATACAATTAATTGACATTGTCACTTTTTTTTTTTTTTTGAATTAGTTACGATGTTTTAACTATTTTATCCATTTACATTCAAAGAGTATACTCGCAAGCCCAAGGTCATTGTTTACCCTAAATATAGAACAACCTCTCCAATCATCGTTTGTTGACCCCAGATCCACCAAATCAGCCTCTCCCCCTCTTCATCTTCCCTTTTTTCTCATCAGAAGCAGTGATGCACCACATCTTTAAAAGGAAGTCGCCTAGGACTCAACATTCTATGCGCAGTACTGAACAGTTGGCCCCCACGTTGACCCCACTGGACCCTGATTCAGACCGGCGCTTTTCACAATACGAGTACTCTGTCCCTGGCCCTGTACAGAATCAGCCTACTTTAAGTCGGTCACAAAGTCAACGTCAGAAATCTTTACGTGACGGACCGACTGTCAACGTGGTCGCCCCTGAAAACTCGCGCAAAAAGGGCTTAATTTCATCTGTCGAGCGCAGCATCTCTGTCAAGGGCAAAACAATCTCCCTTCCCATCTCACAACCTACCTCACCCGGAATTTTAAACCCAGAGATCCTGAACGAGTCCGACGAGTTTCCACTGCGGCATTCCTACTCGGAGAACTCCTCACCGGTGATCGCACCACAATCTCCCCACCAACAATCCCAGGCTCAGCGACCTCCCAGACCTTCCCATCCTGCTCACGCACAAGACAACCCCGAGTGGTCGCAGCAAACCGTGCAACCACTTTATACCAAAATACAGCGATCCAATACCGACCCAACCCTGCTTGAACAGTACGTCCGACCGTCGCCTGCCGATAGTGTCCCCGAATCACCACGATACGCGCCGGAACATATTCATCGGGGGCAGCATTTACCCCCTGCCCAGGACCTGGTATTGAATACCCGGCCCCCATCCCAGCAGACTCACGAGCCGCTTTCCCCGTTACAGTCCGTTTATCCTGACGCCATGCAGTCTTCCGCGCAGGCACAAACCCAGGGTCAATTTCACCAGTTGGACAGACAGAGATCCGCAGGTTCGCCAAAACAGGAACGGAGTCAACAAGATCGGAGTCAGCAGGATCGGAGTCGGCAGGGTAGTGTGTCAAACAACATGCCTGATCCCGGACGGAGCACACCCACCAATACACACCGCCGCGAGGATTCCGGAGAAGTGGACGTGCGGGCATTGATCCAGAAGCACGATGAACTCCGTAAGGATTTTAATTTGGGTTTTTATTTTTTTTAAATAAACTAACAATGAACAGAGGCCAAGTATTCCAAGGTGAAACGATACTACTTTGAGAAAGATGCGCAGGTTCAGCATCTCCAGAACACGGTAGCGCACCAACGGATGGCGGTGTCGCGTACCGTACTTGACGATAATGAATACACCAGCCGATTCCAGCGACTCGATGGAGCGATTAAAGATCTGGCATTCTCCGTGCGCAAAGACTGGCGCTGTATTCCATCGTGGCTGAATGGAATGGTCACCGACGATGCTTTAGCGGTCGGCACGAAAGAAATGACCGCGGTCGGCCGGGCGGTAATCAGCCGATGGCTAGTAGAAGAAGTATTCCAGCGTTATTTCCATCCATCCTTGGATCCGACATTCAGTGTGCAACTGAAGAATATCGAAATGAACCTGCGACGGCAGCGACCGTCATCCGATGAAGACCGCGAGAATGCCTCCGCCAGACTCTCCTACTGGCGTCGCACGACCTTCGACGGATTGACTGATTCCTTAGTTGGACCTGAGGCCGAAGAACATCGCATTGACCTAGTCGAGACTCTAATCGTGGAACTCGCTACCTTTATGGGATCCCAGCTTCACGAAATCGCGCTTCCGGGGCTAGAAGCAAGCGTGCGAATGATCATTGAGAACTCAATCAACATCATCGAAAAAATCCCTCTCGAAGCCCGTGATGTCTGTGTCGATTACTTCCCACCGGGCATCTCCCTCGCCGAGCAATACATGAAGGTCGAAGGCCAATTACCCACACTGAGCCACCCGCCCCCACCACCCTCAGACCAAGAGCAGATAGAGGAGCCTACCGCGACAGAGGGAGATGCCTCATCCGGCTCAACCGTGGGAGCGATGGAAAGCGCCTCACAGACACAGCAAAAGCCCTCGAAGAAGTCCATATTTGGCGGGTTGATAAGCCGCAAGCATGCCGTCAGCGAGAACAGTCGTCCGGCGCCGGCGCCCGGACCGACCGAAGAAAAGAATGAGCCTGTAGAGGTGACTCCGAGCAGCCCGCACATTCGGTTCGCAGCGTTCTTGGCCGTGGAAGTACGCGGCAAGGGCCCTGCAACGGTGCTGATCAAGTCGCCCGTGTGGCTGGTGGAATAAACGGTACATACGTGCAGCTGTATTAGATTACAACCGCAGGTTCTATATCTAAAATGGAGGTTGTACATAGAGAAGGGACAGAGCTGTCACATGCTGGCATGGCGACGAAGATCACTTCAAAGCTAATATCCGTTGATATCCCGAGGCGTTTCAGTTCAGCGGTGGTTGCAGTTGGGGCCGAGTTTCATTTCTTTTTTCTTTTGCCTTACGACTAGAATCTGTGATTCTGCTATGATTGTGCTTTTTTGAGTAGAAATTTTTCCAATTCGATGTTTCTTAGCGGCAGTCTTTGTAGCTCAACTATTCCATTACTTCCACTCCAAACCCAGACACTTTTAATACCTTCAATACCATATACCCTACTGGGTAAAATCAACTCCCTACAAAGGCGGCGGCACCAAATCCAACCCCTCAACCTCAAATTTAAACGCATCACTCCGTGAATAACTCCCAGCAACATCAAGATCAAGTCGTCCACGCTCACAATCATCCAAATCAATACGCGCAATAGCCAACCCATCACCCGCCGCAACAACAGACCGAGACTCAGTAGCTGAAGTTCCAGGCGTGGAATCAGTCACGGCAGCATCGCTACTATCCGGCACGTCATCCGTACAAACTTCCCACAACGGCCCGGCAAGAACCTCTCCAAGCGGGGAGACAATACAACTTCCCCCACGACAAACATATTCCAGTTCCGAGTCTGAAGTAGCTACAGACTGCTTATTATTTGACGAGGAACTCCCCTGGCCCTGTGTCGCCCCCTGTGCCTCACCGTGAGTCTGCGGCCAGACAATCTCATGCGGACCCTCAGAAGTGATGGAAAGTTTTCTTGGATTCTGCGTGGTTTTCGGATCTGGAGCTGTGCGTGTGTTTGAATTTAAGTTCCGAGTTGGGCTTGCACGGGTAATCCACTCCGGTAGCTCGGAGGGACGCACACACTGGTTCGCCGAGAGCACGAAGCACCGGCCTTCTATGCCGACGGTGCGCATGAGCGAGAGCCAGGTATCGCGGGCATCGGCTGTGGGAGCGAGATAGATATTCACATTCTGGGAGTAGAGACTCTGTCGTAGGAGGGGCATGTAGTTTTCCCAGCAGATTGCCGATGCTATGGTTAGTGGGATACCGTTTAGGGTTGTTGTGACTGCGCGGAGGGTTGAGGCCGAACCCTGAGCCCAAATCATGCGTTCGGCGGCCGTCTACGGATGTCAGTATAGAATATCGATGATGGAATAATAGAATAGGGTTCGGGAGAGGAGGGAGACAAAAAAAGAATTAAAGAGGAAATCCATACCGGCATAACCTTCCTCCTCTTCCCCAAAACACCTCTAACAGGATCAACATAAACAACAGCACAATACAAACTACCACCCGCTCTCTCCACCAACCCCGTAACGAAGAAAACGCCAGTTTCCCTCGCAACACGTTCAAGGAATTCCCTCGTCCCGTCACCCCGGAACCTCTTCCCCTCCGCGATCTCGAGCCTGCGTCCAATCCACTCATCGCCGGCTCCGGCGGGCGTATCGCCTAGATCAACGGCTGCCTTGAAGTAGGCGAGGAATTGGTCCCGGCCGCGCGGGTGTCGACTTCCCACTGCGGAGCCGAAGGTGCATGTCCGCGGGTATCCGCCTAGATAGGCTTCTGGGAAGAGGAGGAGGTGGACGCCGCGGCGGGCGGCGAGGGCGGTTGTTCGTTCGAGAGCGCGGAGGGTTTCGGGTAGGGATTCGTGTGTGCGGGATTGGGCGACTGCTACTGTGAGAAAGGGCATTTTGGGTGATATTTTTTGTGGTTAGATGCTATAGTTGGGAGGAGAGAGGTTGAGATGGATGACGATATGGATTTGAGGGGAACCGTGGCTTGGTTGTGGGGTATGGACTTTTTATATAGATCTGTAATATCAATACTCACGTTATGGCATTCGATAGCTGATGGTTTGTACGAGTTGTTCGTCTTTCTAGGGCTTCCATAAAGTCCTAGAAGAGAGATAGTAGAGAGGAAGCAATGCTAAACGACAGGATCTTCAAGCCGGAGATGCCCGTCCGTCTACATTTCTTTTTGGATTTTTCTTGAGAACAATCCACATTAAATGCGAGTACCAAAATCGCTTGTGAGTTTTGTAGGGATCTTTGTCTGCATCTATCCATCGGTGGTGTGCCCTATGGTTACTGTTCCACCAAATCGATGCTTGTATGGCGCCACCGCCGACACATGCGAGAAATATCCTGAGAGGTAGACTACTGAGTATTTTGATCATTAGCTACAGCTCGGCTGCAAGGAGTATGTTGATAATACGATGGGTGACTCGCGCGTCATATGATCTGTGCGCCCAGAGGCAGTTCGCTGATATACAGCTGTTGACTTTTGAACTTGGTTTCAGCCATCATAGAAACAATTTAGAATGAAGCAGGAGCAGATCTGCTGGAAGCGCTTGTTATAAATGATTGGTTGTATACAATTATAGGATGTCACTTTCGCTTGTGATACTAATCTCAAAATAAAAACACCAGAAACAAAGGACTTGAATGGGAAGCCTCCTTGATTTCTAGAATTAAGAGCTATTTGAATATTGTATTCAAGGAGATAATCATAGGATATGAGCCTAGTAAGAAAATGTTGGACTGTTGGGAATGTTAGGTATCGCCGACCAATATTCCACGCACGATAGGGCTTAAAGGTAAGATCAAGTCCGTCATGTTAAGCATCTCCCCCGTCTAGTCATGTTGGAGATGGTCCTTCCCCGATCATTCTGCTGCTAATGACAAATAAGTCTTGACCAATATTGACTCAAGCTCAATATTTGATGACACTATGATCCCGAAATCTAGCAATTACCAAGGGAGCGGAGATCCTCCATGATGCAACGCATTGCTGAATAGATGAATACCACGACGTACCTGTCTATATACCGTCGTGACTAGTTGAATGCTCCCTTTATAAATATATATGGGTTAATTTGCTGCATGGATTCCCTCTGTTTCTGCTATATTTGCTGATCAATTATCAACATAACGATACCTATCTGAGGTCTACTACCGGTCATTGCCGTAGGTAAATATCTCGCATTCATCTCGCCAATGATCGTTACTAATTTATACCACGGTCATTCAAAATTTAGGAACCGGACGAGGCTTAGCAATCTTTTCATACACTGCCATGAACCGCAATAGTGTCTCCTCCTCACCCGCTCTGGCCACCAGGCATAGACCGAACGGCCGGCCGTTGTAGTCAAGTTGGCCTATTGGAACTGTGGCAACAGGATACCCTGATTCTATTAGCAACGGCGTCTCAAATGTACAATTAATGAGCGTTACCTGCAGCAGAAGCATGAACACATAGCGGGGAGTCTCCCGGAGCTGCCAGGATATTGATTTTTTCTTTGTCAAATAGGTCATCCAAAATAGCTCTCGCAGCCCTGCGAAGGTCCTGTTTCAGTTTGTCTATTTTTTCCTTTTCTTCAGTGGCGATCATTGCCCCTTCCAGATCATTCTGCTCGACGAATGCTGCATTGTGTTAGTAGCTCTTCGGTGTAAAATCGTAGGGGCTTGTCCTCGCTGTCAACCTACGAGCTGGAAGGGCCTTTTCGCTGTTCTCTTTATTGAACTCGACGATATCTGCAACGCTTGTTACAGAGCACTCGTCAAAATAGTCAATGAATCTAGGGATGCAGAGATTCCTAAAATCCCAATCTAGAAGTAGTTAGTCCTGATCTCGTCTGGTAGCCGGACTGCAGCAACATACATGCGATTGGCAAAATAGTAGTCGGTAAGTCTGAGGGATCCTTGCAATTGACCGAATATTTCAGAGGACAGCCTCCGTTTCGTAGAGCGGAAACCGTCTCTTCGTACTCGTCTATCTAAAATCAACTGTTAGAGCTGTGAAGGTTTTGATGCAATGAGCGTGACGTACCATTTGCTCAGCTGTACCCTCAAATTGCGTACAAAGGTCTAGGGATAAGCTCCAAACTTTTGGGTCCAGGAAGCCCACCGAAAGACCTTCCCATGAACCCAATTGGGAGGAGGTAAACAGGCGACCGAGTAGAATTTCAGAAAGAACGCGAACGTCAGCTGGCGATTTTGCCATAGGCCCTGGACTGTCGAAAAACTCAGTCATGGTGTATAGCCCAGTAGTATCCTGGACCCCGGTAGTAGGCTTCAGTGCATAAAGACCGGCCCGAGTTGCTGGGGTCACAATAGAACCTATGGTCTCGGTGGCCATGGCAAGAGGGCTAAATCCAGCGGCTACAGCGACCGCAGAACCAGTGGATGAGCCCCCAGGAGCCCACTCAGTATCAGTACAAATGAACAATATCTGTAATTTTATGCACTCACCGAGTGGCCAAGTATCTTCTCATTATCCTTTATCTTCCCAACATACGGCGACAGAGTTTGACCGCCGTGAGCAGACCAACCGGGCATCATCATGGTCATTTTCATGCCAGCGAATTCCTAGAACAACAGTCAATCCAAAAAGGTTCCCTAGAAAAGCGAACGTCCACTGACAGTCATATTAGCCTTTCCCAAGATAACCATCCCAGCGTCAATCAGGCGCTGAGTGATGGCTCCGTTCTTTAACGCTTTGGCTCCAATGAATGCATATGATCCAGCTGTGGTGCTCATACCAAGCTCCGATGCTGTGACAAAGCTGTCTTTCAAGATTATGGGAATTCCATGAAATGGACCCCGGATTTGCCCTTTCTGGCGCTCCTCATCCCGAGCCTTGGCGGTTTCGAGGACCTGGTCCCGCGGGGCAGGCGAAATCAGCGCATGGAGTGTAGACTCATAGCGATGGATCTGTGCCAAGTAAGCTTCCACAATATGAACACTCGTGGTCTTTCTCTCTTCGAGTAGCCGCTGCAGGTCAACCGCGTTGGTCGTGAGGACGTTGATAGTCATTTCTTTCCTGAAGCTTGAGATTTGGAGGAGGTATGGGGGAAAACTTGAAGTTAGGTGCAATCTGTGGGTGATATTAATTTTTAGCGTAGTGCAAGCACGTGTCTAATCAATCCTTCCAAAACTGGATCTTGCCTGGTCTCCAAGTATCAATTCTCATAGCCTAAGAGTGCCTAGGTAGTTAAGATAACGCATGACTACTTCGTGATTTGAAGTTTACAAAAAGTGATCGCCCATCCATTACTATGTATGTAGAACTTTCATTTAGCTCCCTGTCCTCTTAACTACTTTAACAATTGAAGCTACTTTTCCACAGTATCGAAGACAGAATGCAACTTCACCCAGTCGACCAGCTTCGAATATTTTCGACACTTATGCGGAAAACCTCTGCTCTCCACCTTCCCACCTTGACTGATTACCAATCAATATGGAGTAACATCACTTTGACACGCTGGAGTGAGGAGCATGGGTTCAAGTGAAGAGACAAACTTGGAGCCGACAACCGCCGCAAACACGTTTCATCCGATTATTCGTGAGCACACTTGAAGAACAAGAAAGAAATGGAGAAAATAAGATAAAGGCATGATAAAAAGAGATGATATAGTGTATAAATTGTACTTTTGCGCTTGACAGCCTTTAGGTCATTGATCAACGGTAACCCAGGAGGTGAGGAATTGGAGGCCGTATCATCGAAGGCATCGTCACCGATGGAGGCAATTTGTTGGTATCGGAGAGGCCTGAGAAATTTGCTCAGATCTAACTCCCACATTTCAGCATGTGTAACAGTGTGGATAGCAGGTGAAATCTAGTTAAATTATACCCTAATAACGGGTAAAGAAGGACACAGCAAACAAGTCCTAGGCACGAGAAATGAGAAATTTTCTTTTCAACACAGGAATACATCACTCTGATTCCAAGCATTTCGTGGCGAAGAGACGGTTAATCTGATTTCTAGAGCGGGGTGCTATGCCCCCTGCACGGAAGACCGACGGAGATACCAGATGTCTACGACAGACCATAATAAAAGATAGGAAGAAATAAAAGTTGGTACATGATCAAAAATAATCTTTTTGAGATCTATATCTCCGGTAACAGCGTATTAATCTTGTACCGACTAAATTAGGTAGACTACTCGATACAGGCTTCATTACCAAGCGTTTCATGCATATGCATTTCCATCTTTTGGAAGTCTGGATGCATTGCAACAACATCCACTTGGTTAGCAGAGCGAATGGAATGATAATATCTGCCAGTGATTCAAGTCGGCCTTAGCCTCGAATAGATATCACAGGATAGATTGTGTTACTTGCTCGAGAGCCTCAAACACAGCATCAAAGACTGTCTCGTCAGCGCCTTACAGGTCTGCCAATGGATTCTGACCACAAAAACAGCGACATGGGCAGGACGTTTCGTCTCATCCTTTTCACCAAGTTTTATGTACAACTCCGAGGCCTATGATAGTCGACCTCTCACTTCTTCCCTTGACGGTCTGAGAGGATATGCTTCTTTTGCTGTCATGAACTACCACATACTCTAGGCCTACCAGAATATCGTTTTCTACGGCTATGACCTTCCCCAAGAAGGATTAGCAAGTTCATGTGCGCGACCTGAGGATTCCCATGCCAAAACCAACTGGATCATCCAACTACCCATTTTCCGACTACCCTTCACAGGGACATGGGCAATCTCAGTTTTCTACATTATTTCCAGCTTTTCTCTGTCCTACAAGCCGCTCAAAAAATCGCGGGAATACCCTCTCGGGTTTGCTAAAGGCACAGCCGCGGTGGCATCGGGCTTTCTGCACCGTCCCATTCGGTTGTTTGGTCAGCTAGCTCTTTGTACCTTTATTACGATGCTCGGACTGGGAGCCCATAATCAATGAAGCTCTGGCGACTCCTCTTCCGAGCTTCAGCTCTCAGCTGACAGACTGGGCTCACCAAACATGGAGAATATTTTTCGTGTTCTGGTAGGGAGGTATCCATAACCACTACGACGTGCATCTTTGGACCATCCCAGTTGATTTCAGATCGTCTCTCGCCATTTTTCTCTTTCTTCCGATGTATATGACCATCAAATTCTGGGCTCGCCGACCACTCACACCAATGACCATAATCTACGTGTATGCACTGAATAGATAGGATGTGGCATTTTTTTACACTGGCATGCTGATTGCAGATACGAGTATAGACTGGATGCAGACCTGTGACGAGACTAAAAGCAGCAATGTCTCGGAGAGAACGGTCTACAATGTCCTACGCATCGTTCTTCTCGGTTCAAGTCTATACCTGCTTTTCGCTCCGGGCTTTTGCGTCTTTCAGACCCCAGGCTTTAAGACCTTGGGTCAGCTCGTGCCGTCTTCAGGCCCAGCTCCATTTCGTTTCCTACCAAGCCTTGGAGGAATAATATTGATCAGTCTCGTCACTCACACTTCATTACGGAAAAGATTAAGGAGGATGTCTCTCAATCGTTAAATGCTTCAATTTGCTCATCTTTTATAGGATCGAGGATGAGATGCGTCGGACGCAGAGTAAGTGTTATCCTTAGACAACTTATATCACCCCGCTAATGACCCTATAACTAGAGAACAAGGCCATAGGTAAGATACTTTTAATCGAAGGAAAATTGTATTTAATTTCTGATTTCCAAATTAGAATACTATTTAGGTCTATTGAAAGGGTATAGTCTTAATTTCCTGACTTATATTTCAAACATAAACTAATAACATTTGTAGAAAGCTTGCCGGACTAAGAGCCCAGCTTTTAGAGCCAGTGGGAGGTGCTAGCTCTGGCGGCGGTGCGGGATTCGATGTCAGCAAGAGCGGCGATGCACGAGTGGCTCTTGTTGGCTTTCCCAGCCTGAAATCTTAGGCAGGGGGGTGTCCCATTAGTTAACTATCTAATTAACTAAAGGGTGTGGGATTTTCCAAAGGGGGTGTCCCGTTAGCAATCCCCGACTGATATTGAAGCCCTCTATTTAAAGAATAGTAGTGATTTGCTTATTAGAAAGCGAAGATGAGCGTCTTTAATCGAGAATATAAAGTAGGATTTATATTACATGGTTATAAGATCCGGTTCACTCCATATATTTTAGGGTGTCTCCTTATTATACGGGGGTAATAGTAAAAGTGATACATAACGCGTAGAGTGTCTCCCGGAAGAAACGTCTTAACATAAGAAACGGCCTAACACAAACATGGAACAAAGTACAAAAGCCCAATGACAGTCTGATTGTATGTATCTACCTAATGTGAATCCAAAATAGCAATGTACAGGGCAAGACACCCAACCCGGGGGACCCAAAAGCACAACTATGTACAAAATAATCCATGCAGCCACAAGCGATCCGCATGAAGAGATGCAAATTGGGGAAATAAGACCCGGGTATAGCGCGCGCCTCACAATTAGAATGAGAGATGTAAAAAATCCAAAAAAAATGAACATCCCGAAAAGAAAAGAATGGAACCCGAAATATAGGCCGGGAATGTCGCAAAATGGAACGGAAATGATGCTGAAATGCAAGAGAAATGCAGAAAATTAAAAAATGCGATCAAACATTTTCAACGAATGTCCAAACCAATAGATCTGTTCATGAAAATCCAAGTCGAAAGATCTATGCAGACATCCCGTTGGCAGTAGCGGCTTGCTGGAGAACACGGGGCCAGCGGGAGATGAGTTCGACATCGTCGAGGGCACCCTTGCCCTGGTTGCGAATGTACTGGGTGCTTGGGTCGATGCGTGGCTCGTAGTCCCAGACGGTGTGGGTACCCTTGATCAAAGCGGAGTAGACCAGACGGCGGCGACGCTGGGAGGTGAGTACATCCTGGTGAATCTTCTCCATATCCCAACGGGAGTGGGTTTCCTCGAGGAAGAATGCCAGGATCTTAGCTGGGTCGGTGGTGTTGGGCACTGCGGCTGGGAGCTTGGCGGGGCTCGGGGTGCGAGGGGGGTGTTGGAGAGGAAGGGGTAATCTGCCGTGTTGCCGCGCTGGGGGATTGGCGATGCGTGCGGGGTGTCGTCTGGAGTTGGCAGGTTGATGGCCGAGGCCACGGTGGGCTTGGCGACGGCTGCGCGGGTGGCGCTAGATGGAATAGATAGGCCGGCTGCGAGGTTGATCCTCTCCTCTGGGTCGTTGACGAGATCGTAGAGCATAGGTGGGTCGATGGTTGAGTAGATGAACTTCCAGCGGCCGCGACGGATCATCATGAGAGGAGCTTGGGTACCTTCGCCCATGTACTCGCCATAGACGGTGTCAGTGCGGAGACCTTCGCCGCCAGTCAGATACGGCACGAGGGAAACGCCGTCAAGGGGAAGCTCGGAGATGAGTTTGGCGCCTGCCAATTCGGCGAATGTTGGGAGGAGGTCCATGGTGGAAACGTTCTCGGACACGCGCTTTGGGGAGAAATGCTTGGGCGAGTGGACGAGGAAGGGAACACGAGCCGAATTCTCGAACCAGGTCATCTTGTACCACAGACCGCGCTCGCCAAGCATGTCACCGTGATCACCGGTAAAAACAATGATGGTGTCGTCGGCCAGACCGGTGTTTTCAAGAACACGGAGCAGCTTGCCGATGTTGGTATCAACGTATGTGCAGGCGGCATAGTAGGCGCGACGAGCGGCACGGATGCGCTCATCGGGCATTTCCTTGTTGAACAAGTCGATACACTTGAGCACGCGCTGGGAGTGCGCATCCTGCTGGTCGTGGGGGATCGCTCCGTTCTTGGGCAACGGGATCTCGACATCGTTGTACAAGTCCCAGAATTCCTTGGTCATGGCGTAAGGATCATGAGGGTGGGTCATGGAGACTGTCAAGCAGAAAGGCTGCTCGTTACGCTGCCGAACATGGTCGTACAAGTATTGGGTTGACTTGTAAATTACCTCTTCATCGAAATCCAATTGATTGGTGCGTACGACAGGGCCTGCCTCCATGACGGATGACATGTTGTGGTACCAGTCGGCACGGATGTCCTACATTCTAATTAGTACGGTGTAGCAAACGGTTCGTGAGTTTGACGTACAGGTTCATCCCAATTGACGGACCAGCCGTAATCACCAGGGTAGATGTCACTGGTCAGACGCTGCTCATAGCCGTGAAGCTGGTCCGGGCCGCAGAAGTGCATCTTTCCGGCCAAAGCTGTATGGTATCCCTCCCGCCGCAGATAGTGGGCATATGTGGGGGTGTCCGCGGGCAGCTCCGCCGCATTATCGTATGCTCCAATTTTGGAGGGCAGCTGGCCGCTGACCATTACAAAGCGCGAGGGAGCACACAGTGGTGAGTTGCAGTAAGCTGAGTCAAAGACCACGCCGCCATTGGCAAGGCGGTCTAGATTAGGGGTCTTAATGGGGGAGTTCTTGTCATGCAGGGACAACAATGGCGCAGCCATTTGGTCGGCCATTATGTAGAGGATATTGGGCTTCTTAGTCGCCATGATGAATATCTGGTTCAATGGCTCAATGGAAGAAATTCAAACTAATTTATGGGAGAGAAAGAAAGAAAAAAAAAAGGGTGGGAGAGCGGGTGATATATGAGGTTGAGGGAGAATGTGGGGAATAAAGGAGGAAAAAAAGACCAAAAAAAAAAGACCAAAAGGGGAAGAAAACGAGAGAAGTCCAAAGAGCCAGAGCTCGGGGCCAAAAAGGCAAACACATGAAGGCCAAGACGCAAAAAGGTATTGATTGTAATTTCCCGATACACAAAAGATAATCTATCTACTAATATTCTTATTCGACCATATAAACCCTGCAGAATGTACATCCCAAATTAGTATATACAGTAGTTCCCGCCTGCAACGGAGATCAGGGGAGATGATCCGGTACTGACGTACTCCCCGCAAGATATCATTCGAAGCATCGATGGTGTGATTGAAATATGTATGGTAATGTATATATTACCGATGTAGATATTTCTTGCTCTTGATGTCAGTTTTCCCCCTAGCTGCACAATTATATTTTTTCTTATCTCTATTAGCAATAACCAGATTGCAAATGAGAAAAGTACAGTCACAAGACCAGTGATTTTTATCAATTGTAGGTAATTTAATCCCATCGGGGTAAGTGCCGAGTGAGTCGCCACTTTACAGACACTATGGGGGTCGCGTGTGGTCCAGGTGTTGCATCTGTCACATTGGGGAAATTCTCAATACCACCACAATACCAACCGTGCGTGTAAAACCAGAACCCATCTCAGCCCCTTAAACTCCATAATATCAATTAAAAGATATTAAGCTAAAGCTGGGGGTTTTAGTACAAAGTCTATCTTCAGTGCAGTTCACACGCACACTCGACCCCGGAGTGGATAACGGCATCGATAGCCCACGCCCATGGCAGCGTTTCCGGTGTGACAGGATCTTGTACAGACTAGCCTCTTTCAGCTTAGTGAGTCGCGAAGCCGACCACTAGTAAAACCTTGAACTCCACAGGATCGTGTCATTACCATCTCAACCAATCAATCCACCCCCTTTTCTCTAGGATAACCCAACAAGGTTAGAGGCGAGGCTTAGGGGCTGAAGTTCCACTTGCTTATCTTAACAACCAATCAAACCGCATGATTTCACACTACCGGGGAGGAAAAAGAGACGTCGTGAGAATCCAAGACAACGGAGGAGCCCGCCGGTGGGACTCTATTCCTCTTGGCTTTTCTATTTTTCTTCTATCGTTGCTTCCAACCGTTTTCAGGAAGAAACAGGATGGAAACAAGGGGAGCGAGTGTAAGGTATCATAGCTCCACAATGAGCAATCTCCCTTTCCGAGCACGCCATGAGAAGCGGTCTAAGATCAACCCCCGGACTACAATGCTTACGTACTTTGGAGGCGAAACACAGTCACCGCTGTTTCTTAGCATAGGACTACGTCCGCGTCCAAATCAACCTGCATTGATGTCGTATGCACGGTGATTGCCATATGTCCGATTTGCTCCACATGGCCACGTCTGCTTTGTACATCGACGTACAGATCTCCGAGTCACACGGGATCGTTTCACCCGATGTAGACTTATGATGTACATGGTCATATTCTTTACGGAGTAGTGTAGTGCGATGTGCGCGCCTTGATCAGTATCTTTTTCCCGAGCCGTGTAACATGTTGTCTTTCTTTTCTTTTGAAATGAATTTCTCCCAGGAAAACATCGTGCTCTCGTGATGGGAATACTGCAGTGGATATGATCCAATATACATATTCTACGTTACTTAAGAAATTTCATTTCTGCAGAAATACCAGATATCTACTTATTCGAGGCTTCTAGCTGAGATCAGACCTTTTTTGGTGCCTATCAAGGCAATTTTTCATTTTCTGTTACTAATCCTTCCCTTGGCTCTTGAAGAACATTTGATGTAGAAAACCAACCTCCAGCTGAAAACCGCACCTTGATCTCCTCCTTTGTGGAGGCAAAACCGCCAGCGTCTTTGAAGCCCACCACAAATACACCTTTTTCAACGGGTCACTCTCCTCCTGAAAACCGATCCTGTTCCTTGCAAAAGTTTCTTGTCACCTCAACCTCGGCAATCTTCTTTCTCACAATCATCCTCGGGCTCATGCCACTGGGGTTCAGCATCCCAAGCCTCGTCATGGGGAATTGAAGCCCAATCATCCTCAGGCCTAAGGTAATATTCCCATGGCATCCCCTGGTTATTCTCCCAACTTTGATCGTGCAATCCCTGAGCTGTTGCCTCATCTAGGGATAGTTCCTTAGCTCGTCGGCGTCCTTCTTCGACAACCCAACGCTCGAAGCGGGGAAAGTTCTTGAGGTAGGGTACCCGGTTCTCTGATAGAGGTCTCGATTCCGGCTCGATTTTGCCATCTATCTCTGTGACCCCCAGATCCAAGCCATCACCCCGCCACATATGGCCGTATTTTGATCCGTAGACGTGCTCAAATGGGATGTTCGTGATGAAGTGGTTCGCGAGGTCTCGGCAGGCGATCGCATCCTCGAGGCTGTCATGGGGGCCTTGCTGGATCTCGCGATTCAGGAAGTTTCTAGCGTTTTCCTTCAAGGAAGCTTCGGCGAAGCGCATGGTGTCGACAATTCGGCGGTGAATAATTCGCAGCGCCAACATGTCTCCCCGGCCACCGTGGAGCATGAGAATAGTGTTGGGGCCCATGTAGCAGAACAACGCTTCACGGGCTGCATCTCGGCCATCGAGTACTTCACCCCGATCCTTGGCTCTGTACAACATGTCCCAGGTGACACCGGAAAAGCGGAAGTTGGTGTGCCACATGCGAACTTTGGGAAAGACCAGCTTGTTCACCAAGATTTCTCCGGTGAAGAAGTCGATGGCACTCACCCGGATGAGCTCCTGCTCACCCAGGTCGGTGATACCCATCTCACAGTCGAGGGCGATTGCAAAGCGGTAATCTGTAGGTTTTTTAGGGGCCTCGTGTAGCTCCCAGTTACGTTTCCATGCCTCCTGGTTGTCAACAATGTTGTGGGATTTGAACTGATGGCAAGGGCGGGAAAAGATGTTCTTCTTGCAGCAATTGAATATCTGGATAGTGATGCTATGTCAGCCATGTTTGATCAATGGATAAGTGAGAGATGTCCAATGTTGATTTTCAGAATGGTAAATGCCAACCCAAGCTTTTTCACAGAAAAGCGGGCCAACTCACAACATGTCATGGGCATTAGAGAAATAAGAAATAAAGACCACCTGCCTGCCACTTGCCCACTGGCTTTCCCGGATGTCCCCAGCAGCCGTACTTAGTCTCGCGCTTGGCCTCCTTCGCCGCTTCTCTTTTGTGCCACTTCGCGATCATGTCGGCAGTCCAGTAGATCTTGCCAATGCACTCCTCGGTCTGCTCGTCAATGATGTCTTCCTTAAGTTCTCCGACCTGTGGCGCATCTTGGTCCCCTTGCTGAGCGCGATTCGCCTGGACTTCCGCATGGTCGCGCATTGTATATTCGCTGGCCAGGAGATCCTGTCGTCTCGGGCCCCACATTGCAACTAAAAATGTAATTTTTAGTCTCAATCCTGTGTTCAAGGAAAAAAAAAAAAAAAGCTTACGTCGACATTGCTTGCAGCGTTCCTTGCAGGTGGAGGACATCTGGAAGAGTTGGTATCCACGCGTGGCCTCGTATCGATTTGATTGACCCCAGAGGCGAATCCAGTAATCCTGAGTCCAGACAATCTGAGGGAGGTCAGGGAAAGGACCCATGTTCGGGTCCTTGGGCTTAGAGCGACCTTTGATATCAGTGGTCCGCCGTGTCCAGCACGGCTCGACCTTGATGGGCTTCTTGACTTCGCTATGCCGAAGCTCCGGGTCAATGTCCTCCAGACCATAAGAGTTTATGGTGAATCTGTTCTCGGGGCCCTCCCCCTTTTGATGTTCGTCAGACGACATTTCAAATAAGAAATGGCGCCGAATGAAGGATAAACGAAAGATTTGCTAGATCAGAGAATGAGTAAGAGAGTAAACAAGACTCGGAGAAAACGTTGATTGCACTCATTTATATATGATTTCGGGCAATGGTTCTAGTCCACTTATTGAACAGCTAGGCATCGGGAATCATAATGTGAATCTCCGAATGGCACCGCTGCCTTTGGCCATGAAGGCATGGGTGAAGGCTGAATGAAACCGCGGTTGGAGTCTTTGGCATAGGAGTTCGGGCAATAAACAGCAGGCATCGAGAATCATGATGTGAATCCCCGCGTAACACTGCTATGTTTGACTGTGAAGGAATGGGTGAACGTTCAGTGAAAGAATGAACCGTTGCCTTCCCAAAGGGTTTGAGCCACACTCGGCGAATAACAAAGTGATCACGCTCCCGGGCCCTAAATGGGATGCAAAAATAATGGGAGGCAACGATATCCTCGAGTCGACTTACTGTATGGAATTACCGTGTGTTATTCAAAGCTCAAAGCCCAACGGAAGTATTGAAGCTCGAAGATGTTGTATGAGGTTGAAGGATGAGGAAGGGGGAAAGAGAGGCCAACCACCGGGGAGGTTATCCATACAAAGGATCTCGTAGGAAATCGAGGAACGGCAAGCAAACATTTGACTGGAATTGAGAGCATGAACGTGAAACGATGGGTGTTTTACTAGTGCGTTATTTGACTTACTTCCTTCACATGATGCTCAATATCTCCAGGATGTGATAATTTGACTCGAGCTAACGGCGCCAGTCTTTGGGTATCCCTTCTAGCATAACATATCCCCGGGGGTATGCTCATGAATGTAGATAGCAAGACGAGTTTTATATTGACCTTACAGGACGTCGATATGCTAGGTGAAACTTGGTCCTCAGATTTCGGTGACATGGCAATACGTTGGAACCGATGGAACTGGTGAGTACTTGAATTTGGGCGTGTATTTGTAACGAAACCACATCAGCCTTGGGCGAACCTATACGAAATATAAAGCCTGGAGCAAGATGATAGGCCCTCACCAAGGCGTCGGATAGAAATACTGGCTTATTAGGCAATGATAAGAAAGAAGAAAAGAGAAAAACTGGCTTGTGTTTGTGTTCAACACAGACGTGGGAAGCAAAGGCTCAAATTTCGGACGGCCAGAAAATGCAGAAAATAGAACACTATACGCCGTGGTGGTAGATGAATTCACCTATGCTTATCGGAAAGATCAGGTCATGAAGAGGTAGATGTTGAGGAGACGAGGAGTCTCCGGATTGAAGAAGTTAAAGAAAAAGGGGGTAGTTGTGTCAACGTTTAATCGACCTTGATGGCACTGTGGAATTCTCAAGATTAGCCCGTTGCCTGCCAGATTCAGTGGAGTAGCCTTACCTATAAACACGCCGGACGAACGCATAAGCGGCCAAGAAGCCAACGGTTCCGGCTAACAGGCCATACACAGCGCAAGCGAGGAAGCTGTAGCTGAAGAACAGCAGGCTTGATACGAATCCGGTAATGTGGAGCTTGAACATATAATACCAGATGCAGTAGGCGAAAATCCAAAAGGCGCTGCTGCCGCCGGTGAGGAAGCTCTGCCACCACCAATGATAATTCTAAAGAAGTCAGCATGGCGATCCACAACCCAAGCCGAGAACAGACTTACCTCGGAACAAAGTTGGCTGTATGTTGCGATCACGGTCACCTCAACGACCGTGACAATCAGCACGGTTGAGACCACACTCAAGAAGCCGAAGACATAGTAATAGCCAGACTTGTCCTGCCACAAGTTCTTGAAAAGGAACAACAGCTCAATAAAGAGAACCGCAAATGGAATGAGGCCAGTTACCACAGGGCCGAGAGGGCTGCGGAGATACCAGGGTTGGGGTGGGACTTGGCGGGCAATCGCATTCGTCTTGAGAGGGTGCTCCCATGGCGACGCACGCACATAACCCACCCAACTGCCAATGTATACCAGCGGAACTTGGATGAGAAGCCAAAGTGCAAGGAGGCCGACCAGAGTGCCGAAAGGAATTGCCGTACTAGATGCTTGAGCCCAGACAAACAAGTTCAAAATCAACACGAGGCAGAATGCCAGACCAGGGAAGAGCAAAGCGGTCTAAAATCATAAATTAGCATAGCACATAAACGAATGGAGCAGGATACGCACGATTAGGGTGTTCTTGCGCCAAGCGGTTCCGTTGAAGGTCTTGTAAAGTCTCCCGGAGAAGTAACCGGAGAAAAGGCCAGCAAAGACGAACAGGCCCATGCCGACGCTAACAAAGCCACCACGGAAGCTTGGGTTCAAGACTCCTAGGCAGCTGAGCAGGAGCAAGCCTGAAGCCATAAACAACAACTGCATTCCCGATCCAACCAAGGGGGCAAGAAGACCACTATAAGCGGGGGTACGGAACACATCCCCATGGAGAAGCTTCCAGCCACTTGTATCTTCGAGAGCCTCATCGTCCGAGGAGTAGTCTGCATCGCGCTCCACATCTGCGCTATCGTCTAGAAGCCCCTCGCCTTTCTTCTCACCAGACTTGCCACTCCGGCGTCGAGATTGGCCCTTCATCTTCCGATCATCCATAGCACCATCGCCGCGACCCTTGAGATCGCCTTGCACTGTGCGGCTCCAGATGACGAAAACGGTCACTCCGAGTACGGTGCAAATTGTCAACGAGTTGATGATCGCCAGCCAATGGGTCACTGAGCTTTCACCTTGGTTGGTAAAGTATAGATCCCAGCGGTTGGCCCATTCAACCTTGGTGTCCTCTCGGAAGTAGACAGAGTAGGTGTACGGAACCTTCAGTGTGGTTCCATCATCATCCTCGTCATCATCTGGGATATATGACAGTCCGGAATACTTTTCTTGCATTCGCGAAAGGTCGGGCGCAATATACAACCCCAGTCCTTCGTTGTTATTGTGGAGAGATTTGGGGCATCCATTTTCCAAGCGGTCTTCGGCGGTAATACTTTTTGGGTACACCTCAAAGCCTACGACCACTTTTCCTCCTTCCGGTGCGCTCCGCCAGCGGATGACGATCGTAAAGTGGTTGTTGATGAAGTACCGATGCTGCCCGGTGAGTGGAGAGATGTCTCGGTAGCCGAGCTTGAATCCGGAAGCATAATACTTGCGGCTCCGATCCACTGTCACAAAGCTCGTGGCTCCTGGCAGATTATCGGCAATCCACTCGATCACATATCCCTCCTTGACGAGCTGACGAGCCCATTTCACATCTGACCGACCAAGTTCGCGGGTGCAGAGGGACTGGCACTCAACATCCTTCCCCATCGCAAGTTCGAAGTCGGAGGTCATGATTCGATCCCCACGAAGTACCTCTCCGATATTGAGCGAGATACTTTGGCCGGATCCAAACGGGGAGCCGCCATGTGTTTTGCCGCTCGGCGGGCAGACGAAAGGCAGGTCGAAATAGGCATATTGCAGCTGGGTGTGATCAGAGAAGATCTTGTTCACGAGAAGAGGAATTGGGTCATTGTCATTATATCGGGTAACGGAGTATCCTAGTGAGAGGAAAATGTGTCAGTATCATGTGCTTAGTCCAACCAAAGCACGATTTGGTGCTTACCTGGGATGTAGAATGCGCTGGCACATGACACGAGCAGCAGCACCCACAGCGCCCACTGACGGGAACAGAATTGAGCCAAGGCCATATTCAATAGACGTAAAGAGATATGTTTTGTCCTTTACCCGGAGTAAACGGGCAGCTATCGAACCAGCATGTACACAAAGTATGGAGGGTTGCACGTCGGTGGATTACGGTATGTCGATTCGCAAAGGTTAACTCGGAGCGAGCGAGCCAATAATAGCTATGTTGTAGGCAGTATCTCGTTCAAGCGATTCTTTGCGGGGATGATCGATGGACGGTGGACTTGATCTCGGAAGCGCGTGTTGGATAGTAGATGGCCAATGGGATTGCTTGAGTTCGCCAGCAACCTGCCGAGGGACAAGTAATTAACGAATGAAACTGGCACTTAATGCCACAGTGATATAAGTGTGTCGAGAAAGGTGTTTGAATGTGGGGAGCTTGTAAATAGTTGAGCGTCCCTGGCCTCTTGTCCCCGGATTACATCAGCATGCCACGCGTACCTCAGGGAGGTCCGTCTGCGGACAAAAGGACGAAAACGATCAAATTCGCATATCCTTGAAAGAATACCTGTAAACTCTGTATACATATTTCCTCGAATGATGAAAGGGCACAAAATTTTGAATTCTACTATGTAGATTTACTGTATATATCATGTCCTAAACACCGTAGTAATTCCTGGAGATCCAAATTACACGCGCCAAGAGGATGCGAATCCAATCATTTCACGCGAGTCAAATAAGCTATGCCCTAGTGCACTCGACTCTCGACTCCAACTTCTGATCATTCCCAACTCCTTGGTTTTCCAATGTGAAGAAGCCAGTCATGGAACCATCAAAGGGGGAGATATTCCATAACCCTGCCAAACCCCATCAAAACTGCGCAAGGGCCAAGATTAGATGCATTCGTCCTAAGGCTACAGGGAGTCGCAACCAGTGGGATAATCGGATAGATTATCGATCTTCAATGTTTGACTGGATGCAACCGCTTAAGGAAATCCTGTCACTTTCGTGTATAGACATATAGACACAGGATCGTGCCACTGTGCTTTAATTAGTAAGGTCTCTAGGCGAATACTCCTACTCTTAATATCTAGAGTTCAATACATAGAACCACAGCTGAGAGTCAATATAAGGATTTAGGGGAGATTGAGGGTATGGCCTTTGATCTCTAACCTATAATAATGTCGGATGTTAGAAGTAACTTTTCCCGTGAGACTACAGGAAATGTAAAAGTGGTCATATATATACGTAGTGACTACGTATATATAACGCTCCATGCTCTGCCCTTTCTATTCTTCATCGTGAAAAATTCCCAAGATAACTAGAGAATCATTATGGATTGTCCCGACGAGAGATCTTGGTACTCTACTTACTTCACCATCGGTGCTATA